GCCGCGAGCTGCTCGAGTCATGGTTCTCGGGCCCCCAGTCCATCAACAAGCGTAACGATTTGGCGTTCCTATGCGGTGTACTGAGAAATGTCCTGAGCAAGAGAATCAGACACGTGGTAAGGACTGGGCGCAACAACAACTCTGATGTCAACGAGCATAATTGTAGCGCAATTATTAAACCCGCATCTGAAACGGACAAGAACGCTGTGGCAATTAATGAGCCATCACCGCAACAATGAAGACCTCAAGCGGTGGCTAAAAGAACTGACAATTATAGTACGCATGCGGGTGACCGCTACGAGCTATAAATACCGTTCAATCTGTGCATGTATCACTCTTATCTGCGCATGTCTCAGACTATTCTACTATTACCTATGATTAGGGATTCCCGAGGGAATCCAAAACGTCAAGACAATAAATCTCTTGTTCCAGTGATCGCTTCTTCTTTTGAACTGCTTCCTGGAACTCAGATATTCTCCTCTATTGACAGAACTTATCTATAGCATATTTTTTACCAGTCTAGTCAGCGTATAAAGAAATGAACAGGAGTTTGGATTAAAACCATACGATGTGACACTGCTGAAGGAAAATGCCGGCCGATATGCAAGTTCTGTGCATACCAATTTTCATGTAATTATGTCGTAAAATTTACATCGAATGGCGAATACTATGTCCTATACCTTTCGATGTCAAGATAGGATGAGTGGTGTTTGCATGACACAGTAGGTAGTAAAGAATACCGCGCTAGACAGGAGGCCAATAACACAAAATTTATGAAAATAGCGTAAATCAGGCAGGAAATTACGACTTGCCCTGTATGCCCGTGCTGAACCAGAATTATCATTTATTTAAACCTGATATCTCTGACGGCCTCAGCTCTTTACTCTAGACACATTTCGGCAAAGATAGTTTAGGTAGTGCGCCTCATATACCAAAAGACACAGCATTTATTCCTCAGCAACCGTGGTTCTATGCGTTTTGGAGGTGGGGAACTATGGTAGACAGTGAAGAAAATTTGTATAAGTTAGTGTTAATTAGAAAAAATATTATTTAAATTCATTTCGTGCGGCCGCTGGAAGTAAGTTTTTGCATGTACATTAAAGGTGTGGGAGGTGTTTGACGCCTCGGGCTTAGACCGCCGTGAAAGAGGCTATGTTCACCTTAATACCTCCTAAAAACCATTATACTTTTTCAAAAAGTTTAGGAAACCTGTATTTTGAAAATCGGGTTCTTTCGAAAAAACATTAATCGATAATACAGATTTGGAAAATCTTCAGATATAGAGCAACAGCATTTCTAAATGCAATAAAATATCAATGCATATAAAAGTCATTGAAGTATATGCTACTGCCTATCTTAATTCCAAATGCCTGTATAGCCTCAGTTTCTATAGGACAAAATGCTGACGCTAGGGTTCTATAAATGCACTACTCAAACTACCTTTGCCCTTATTTTTAAAACGTACAATTGAACTAACTCTCACAGTATCCCTAAGACTGACAGTTTACCCTAGACCTAAGACTGATAGCAAGTTGAAGACACTAACGCATGCCGATGTTTACTGATATATATCTTTATATATTTCCGTTTACTTGTTAACGAAAAAATATTATACACAATAATGGGTTATTATGTTACGCTCTAACAATATGTAGTTTTGAGTGGGGATCTTCGAAGTGAAACATCTTACTTCCTAATCTTTTATCAGGGCTATCATAACATTTTTCGCACATAAAAGATGCCATTTAAGGTTTACAAGTGAACCTCGAGTCTTCTGAAAAATAATATCCAGATTGGATCCAAAATGTCTAACAACATGCCATAAAATCAAATTAACATTCGGACTATGTCCTTGTTTCGGTAACGTACTCTTAGTTCGCAAATAGAGAAGAACATCTGTAAGTTCCAGCAAATATTATTATTGCACCCTAAGTCTTCCCTATCACAAACTTGAAAATCAAAGGACTCATTGCACACGGTTAATGCTATTTTACAAAAATTTAAATGGAGCATACAAAGTATGTATCGATCCCGATGACTAGTAATGACCATCTTACTTTATTCATTTCACCATCCGCAAAATATAGGAGATGGGACTAGAATAACAGTACTCCTTTTCGTGAGCTCGCGATTGCAAGCTGCGCAAAAAGTTCAAGCAGAAATATATCTACACCAGTCAGTGTTAATTAACTATCTGTTCACCGTTCTCAAACAAATGTCAAACAATTGAATAACGGGCGATATAGTAACCGCAGTCGGACCACTGCCCACACCGATTTTGTGAACACATTAGGTTTTGTCGGTGCGTCGTCATTTTTCTCCCGCACATACCCTACGCCCATCGCATTATTGAGTTATAGTAATCTCAATACCGGTTTTATTATTTAACGA